TTCTCTGAAGATCTGTTGTTTAAACCTACGCAGTCATTCTAATATTTTGCTTCCTATTTAAATATTTGCCACCATCTGCTCTTCACTCTTTGAGCAGACAGAGTTTCAGGAACAAGCCAGGATGACCTTTTTCCATGTGAGTGAATCATGTTGATATTGGTAAAGTAGAATTGGACCCCAATTTAACAAACATACAAGTCTGGGTATTAAAAGCACCCCTACCTTACTTACCGTGCTTTAAAAGACACAGGCACCGATAACATTGGTAGTGAGTATTTTGCTAATATAGTTTTAAATTGGTGTGTGCATGCATTTACATCTTGTAAGACTTAAAAGGAAAGTCATATTTTGGGTTCCTTTGATGTTTCTTAATTTATGCATTGGACGCCTGGATCCTGCAACGATAGGCACTTTAGAAATGGAGGCGGAAAGATTAGCTAGATAAACGATAAGTGCTCTTTGTTTTGTGCAGTCACGTGGCCACGCTGTAAAAGTTAAGGCAGAGCAGTGAGTACCACGTGGGAAGCGCAATAGCTGCCCTCAAGCAAGGAGATGCCTAATTGAGATACCTAATGTGGCCACCTGTGCATGCTTCCCCACTAACAGCTCCAGCATGCTGGGCCACTGGATCCTTGGATCACTGACTTTGGGATGTTGCCCGGTGCTATACAATGAATCCAGACTTATGTAGGCCAGCGCAGACTGAAAACATGTCAGTGTTTGACTAGATTTCCCTTGATGTGTTTCCTCCTGACGTGGTTCGTAGGGGTCTCCCCAGACACTGTCGTAGCACCGGCGTGCTTGCTTGGTCGCTCCCAGGACTCTTGGGATTAATGAGACAACCTCTCATCCCCTGTGAAGATCATCATTGCTGGTACTGGTGGGAGAGATCTCAAAAGCTGTCCCTCTCTGAAGGCTGTCTTTCTGACATAGCCACTGAATTGTTTCATTAGTAAGCTTTACAAGTGGAGAAGGAACATGAAGCTACCGTGTCCATAGGACTAGGCAAGAGAAAGGGGAGGGAGAATGTTACCAAAGTGTGCTTTTTTTCATTCTTTTTTCTCCCTTTTTTTGAGAAATGTTATTACACTCTGTGGTTCACTGTTCTAGGTCATTTGAATCCTGCCAAAATTTTTCATCAGCGTTTTAGAACCTGAATTTTTTTCGATCCCGAACATCTCCAGAAGCAACAGCCATCACTTCAGTAATTTATTTGGACAAAAGTAAAGTGATTTTGAATATTTCCGTGAGCCTTTACTTTCAGAAGGTATTTCCAAAGTCTCCGATATAATATATAATATTATATAGTCTCTGATATAGTCTCCTCTTATTATATCGGTATTTCCAAAGTTATTTTTCCCAGCACAGGTGAAGTTTTGTTACAATTGCCCTTAGTGTCAGCCAGTATTTGCATACAAAAATGGTATTTCTATATCAACCCATATCTCTATGCCTCTATGAAGAGAAAATGGGTCTGTGTCCAGGGGTAAACTTGAAAAATAAACTTGCTACTCCACACATTGCATTTTTTTACATGAATCTTATCATCTCATTTTCATAAGAAGCATTTCTCAGCCACTTTCAAGCTGGCAGTTCAGAGTCTAATGATCCCTGTTAGGCCTGGTCTGAAAGGGAGCACAAAGGAATCTCACTTCTGTTGAAGAAGAAGATAAAGCACAGAGCCAAGCAAGTTTCATCAAGGACCATGTTGTGCCTAATGACATCATTAGTATGTGTTAGAGGAGTCAGGTTTGCAAACCATTTCCCTAAAAGTGTACCTGACAACCTACTGCTTCTTTTCATGATCTAGGAGAAAAGAAATTGATTTGTGGACTGCCTTTGCTAGCCCAATTTATTTGGGGAATGATGTGCTGTGTAGTGAATGATGATCAAAGCCTTCTTTTAACAGGCCAGTTTTGCAGTAAGGTGTATGTTCCCAACTATAACAAAACTACTGTCTATGCAGTATATATCATTAACTTCTCATGACTGGTGATAACTTGGCTGTGTATACAGCTCTTTTCATCTAAAGATGCCAGGGCATTTCATAAAGGAAGATAATCATCATTTCCCCTTGAATGCTATACTTAAAGTTCGGGGGGGGTTTCTTCTGTCTCCCGTTTTTCAGTTTCTCATAATCTAATCAGATTAATTCCTTTGAGGATGACATTTTTCACGCGTGGTCTTTCTTCTTAGGGAGAGGTTTTTCTAAACGTTTGAACAGATTATTTTTGAGAGAGACTGAAAGAGCCACCACTTTTCCCACCTGATCCAATTGGGGAAAAAATGGGGTTTGAACATCTCTTTTGAAGTCCTCTCTAATGCAGGAAAAACTGGGTGATGATGAAAATTGGGCGAGCGCTACTTGGAATATTTGCATATTCATGTTGCGGCTGTGCTTTTCAAAGCTGAGTTGGGGATGCAGCCACACAATTAATGCTAGGTCTGTGTAGCTGAACCTCTCTTGCACCCGGATTTTTGCAGACTTCTAAACCTAAGTCAGGTCTCCAGACTCTGCGTGCCTTCAATAGGAGGCTATCGTGTGTTGCCAAAAGCCTTAGTACAAGAGAAGACTTAGCTCCCAAGGCAATTTATAACTACTGGACACCTTGAACATGACTTCAGGCTCTCCTACAAGTTCAGGAGAGTGGGAGTTATAAAGAGAGATTCCTAATTGGGGTGGGGGAAACAGATCTTTAGTTTACAGAATGAATGGGCTCTGCAGACTTGTGCCAAACCCATGCTAAAATGAACTGGGTTTTCAATAAGATGGTCTAATGCATTCAGCTACAATTTTCTCCTATTGTGACATTAGCATTCTGCCTTAATCAATGTAGTTGTCTGACCAGCACTCTTCCCCCACCCTAATTCCAACCCTAGAGTGGCTACAGCACATGAAAGGGTCTCTTGTAGTTTATCCAGAGCACACAGATCTCTCTGAAAAGTTCATGCAACATTTTTTTTCCCTTTTGACACCAACTCATTTGATCAGCCTCTCCCAAGTAAGAATGGCAGTCTTTGTGCATTTCTCATTGTTATTCGTTGGCAGGACTGACATCTGAGAGTCACAGTGGTCATTTAACTACAGCTGTAGCAGCTACTGTATAGTAGCCAGGCTCGACTCAGTTCCTCCCTAGCGACTTGCAAGAAAGAGACATTTTGAATTTGTTAAATCCTTATCCATACAAAACATGACTGTCTGCATCATGAAGAGAATCTAAATTCAGCTGGCTTATAATACAAGGATGCCTTTTGTTACTAAGGATCATGCCATCCCTTCATCACTCTCCTGTGTCTCAATTTGTTTCTTGCCTGTGCCGTCTAGTACGTGTTACTATTTTCAATATGGCTCACTCGGCTGTTGTAGAGCTGCTCTGGGCTTAGTGGAAAGTAGTACCACCTCGGAAGAATGGGAGTAGGCTTCTTCTCCAGAGTAGGACAGAGCTCGTGGCAAGGACCACCGTAAAGGCAAGATGGGAAAGCAGGGGCACAGAATACCTGGAGCTGTCCTAGAAAGGAGGACATATAGGGATGGGGAACCTCCTCATTGCTCTTCAGTTGCTCTGAGCTGGGAAACAGAGTACATAGGGGATATAAAAATGGAGGTGGACTCGAGCCACACAGGTCATCTCGTGGCAAAGAGCAGAGCACAGAGAAGAAGAGCTGGAAAATAGGAGGAAATCCCGCATTGCAATCAGGAGGATAGCAAGCAAAGAGTGAACCAGCTCTTTCAGCTTCCTATTCTGTTCTCTCTGTGTCTCTGTCTTTCTAGGATTGATTTGTTTTCATGCGACTCGGAAATAAACTTTTTTCAGTTTTGCTTATGAGTTTCTGCTTGGGACAGTAATCCAGGAACTCAGCTCCTGGCAGATTCCTGCCCACTTTTGAGTACTACATTCATATAAATGATGGATTCTCATCGCTCCTATCACTGGGGGCCAGAGGAAAGACATTGGAAAAAAACAGCATTATATTTACCACCGTTCCAGTTATTCAAGGAAGGAGCTGACAGCAGTGCATTAGGTTGAAGGCGTATCAACACAGACATCAATTTACTTTTGATTTTACATTTCCTTTCTCAGCTGCTCTTTTCTTATTTTGTTCTTTAGTGTAGCAATGCAGCTGCCCATCATGCCGAGAAAAATTTAATACCTTCAGTTAAGAAGGCAGAATGGATTTCATATCTGCAATTGCACAATGGTGTTTGAGGAAAAAGCTTCAGTAAATAGGGCAGTATTTCCTAGTGGTTAGAGGGCATGGGAGTCTCTCGGTTCCATTTCTGACTTTGCCTTTGATTTCACTGTTTAGAAAGTTGTTTAGTTTTTCTCCCTTAATTGCAAAGAGACTCAGTAAAAGAAGGTGGAGGTGAAGTAGTGGAGAGGTCAATGCTGTATGTTGTATAACATTTTCATATTGTGCTTCAAAAAGAGAAAACAGGCCTCCAAAAAAAAAACAACCAACCCCAAAAAACCACTTAAGAACCTGTTAATTAAGAAAACAAGGTAGAAGGGTTCCTGTAAGTTCCAGAGTGATGATAGAAGGGAAAGTTCAAGGAGCAAAGGAGCCAGTAAATGGCTTATTTCTACCTAACTTTAGGTTTCTTTAAGTCGTCTTGGTTTCCAGAAGGGTTTCTTCTTTGGAGAGTAGGATAATAAGGATGTTAGGATAGAAAACAAGACAAGGAGATGTCTTTCAAGTAGTATTGTAGGTTTGTGCATCACTGCCTCTTAAGGGAGAGAAGGACAGCTACTCCTCTACCTGCTGTAGGACATACAGCAAACAGCTGAGATTGTCCTTCACTCAAAGTGGAGGGGACCTCTTTTCAGAGTGAGTGGATCTTCATTCTGTTACCAAAGCTATCACCGTGGCAGGGAAAAGTGTCTTGTTAAATGAAATTTTGCGGTGATAGCTGGGATCAGAGCAAGCAGTAAAGTGGCGACTGCCGTGTTCCTACAGGATAAACAGTATTTTTCAGTGTGGTCTTTTTGTTTGGATTGCAGAAGTGCCTCAAATTGTGATCAGCCCTCCCCTGAGTGAGACACAGGATAAACACATAGGAAGAGACGGTCCTAGTCTCAAATGCCTACAGTCACTGCACAATCATTGAATGGAATAATACAGGAAAAAGCTCACATCTAATTAGGCTGCTGAGAAGCTGTTTCAACATCCCATATTTATCTCACCCCTGCATGCTCCTACACCAGGACTCCAGGGGAGAGCTCTTCCTATTGAGTATACCAAAGGAAACTCAGCAGTCTGTATCAGCACAAAGATTAACAGTATCTGGCCCCAAAAATAATTGTCTGCCTTGTCATCGGCATCCATGTGAGACAGATGATAGGCTGCCACCAGACCTAAGGAGATCTCATTTGATAAGGGAAGTTTTGCTATTTTTTCCTGATATTACAGTTTGTCTGGCACAGGTCAGATGTAGGAGTTGGGCTGCTATGGAAGTACAGCTTGCTAAAATAAATGTATAAACAGCCATTTTATTTCCCTTTTGCACAAAAATACAAAGCAAACTTTGCAAATAGATGTGAACGTACGTCTCAGTACTGTATCGGCCCAGGGTGCCACTTGAACCAGTAGACCAACCACTTGTGTGCTGTGAATACAGCAATTCTACCCACATCGGAGTTCTTTAATTTGCTCCTTCTTCAAAGACACGTCGCTCACAAGCTGGCAGAACAAATACCGACACCCAGGTGCCTGCAGGGGAAAGGAAGCAGTCCAAGGGTTGCTGTGGACTTTTTGCCTGAAGAGGCATTTTCAACTTGGCTCCAGAGAACACTGAATTTAGGCCCTTAATTGAAATTAGAGTTTGTTTTGGATTTGCTCACTCTGTGAGAACAGATCCAGCTAGTCTGTGTTGTGCAAGCTCCAGAAAGCCAAGGCATGAGCCTAAGGCAAGTAATTCAGAGTACAGCCTAGTGAATAAATGGTGCCAAGTGATCTATTCCTTGAGTTCAGCTTTCTTTTTTCACTTGCGGTGGACTAAATCACTCTGAGCAATTGCCTTGATTTTTACTTGTTAAAGCTTTCTGACGCATTCTTTTTGTGCCTTTTTAGATGCCTGTCTTAGGAATGTAAATATCATTTGAAAAATCTTAGTTAACCTCCTCTTATTATATCAGTTAAACGATTAACCAGTACCGCAGCAGCTTGGACACCACTGCTGTTGGGAGCTGCTTCGGGCTCCTAGAGCCCTTTGGCTGGGGGGATGGAGGGACAACACAGTCCACATGAGGACCTGCCCTGGGAGGCAGCACTTGTGAACCAGTAGCTAATTGCTTAATTGATGAGTCATTAGGCTGCTCAGTATTTTCCTCTTAGGCTATGGGTACCAGTTCGCTTCCCTTCCCCTGTTCCTCACTCCTCCCTCCTTCCCTCCTGCTGCCCTCGGCTTCCTGCTGGAGCCCCGCACAGTTCCCCTTCATCCCCTTCCCTGCCACACCGCATTCACCCCAAGCTGAAGGATAACTGGTAAGCTAACTGGTTATCACTGCATTTATCAGTTAAACGATTAGTCATTTAACCTTTCACATCTCTAGTCTGTATCAATGGTAATGGGATTTTTGTATTTAGTACTTTCTGCTCAGGTGGCATTTGCCTTTGGTTATAAACAGAGACATTTCAATGCGTATTGGATGAATGCATGTACACTTTCAAGGCAAATAATTGCACTTCTAAATATAAAATTCAGTTTATTTTCAAATGTTGGTGACATAAAAATCTGATTGCTCAAACATTAGGAGGAAGTGAATGCAAAAGGTGAGGAAAGCATGGTAGGATGAATTCTTTTAAAAGTATGCACATACTCACCGTGACACTCATTTGTCTTCTCACATGCAGCATCATTAAACTCCACAGTGTTTTGGCCAAATCTAGAACGTCCCAGCGGGTGAGATTCCTTGGCCACGTATCTCCGCCTGTCTCCTGTTGAAGGGCCCCCGGGTGTCCCTTTAGATGTGCATATGGATGGGCCCTCTGCACACCGATCTGTTCTGTGCAGAGCTGGGACCTCAGATGCCCCTGCTGCCCTGGCTCCCTAGTTCCTGCATACAGTCAAGGGTCACATCAAATCCTGCATCTAGCACTACTGGGCTAGAGACAGAAATTACACATAAACCAGTGTAAGTGATTGGAAACTGGTTCAAATCTCTAACACAACAGAAGCTCAGTGCCCATCAACCACTTTCAGAACAACTGAAACATTCACCTGGATGGATGTAGTCTCAGACTTAACTGATTCAGGTTAAATCGGTTTATTGAGCTTCTGTCTCAGACTCCCCAGATCCCTCTGTGGCTTTATAACCTGTTTTAGACTCTCTCTCTCTGGAGATCCTCCTTTCCTGCCGTTTTTGGCTCCTATCGGATTGTGGTGCCAGCCATAAAGTGAAGAGCAGGAACTACTCACTAGCGCTGTGCGAAGCTTCAGGTGGTGATTCGACTTGGTGGAGATTCAGTGGCCGAATCTCCGAATCTGAATCAAATCAGGGGACCAATTAAAAGGTCTGCATAGATTCAAAGGTCTCCAAATCTTCGGAAAAGGTTCTGGCAGCCTTGATTTGGGCAGTCCTCGGTGGCTGCAGCAGGGAGGGGCAGCTGACTCCCAGCTGGTAAGTACTAGGGGCTGGGGGAGGGGACCATGGGGGGACCCCTGCCAGCCCCCCCATGGCTGCCCTGCCCACCCCAGCTCCCAGCCCTTTAAAGAAAAGCCCCAGTGCTCACCGGGTGCTGCCCTGGTGGGGGCTCACTGGGATCCCTGCTGCCCCCCATGGGGGCTTTTTTTCGAATCGGGACAGTGATTCGAATCACCAGATCGAATCACTGCCCCCCGAATTGGCCAAATCCTAATCTGAAGCGAATATTAGCCGCTTTGCACAGACCTACTACTCACCCACTAAATGGGTGGAACAAGGGATAAGGAATGAGCTGCTCCTCCTCTCTTGCCATCCTGAGTAACAGGGCAGGCACAAAGAAGAGGCAGTTTGCTTCTGAACACGTGTTTCAGAATATCCTCTGTTTTCTCCTGAATCTCAAGGTCTTGGGTCAATAGGCCCATGTGAAAATTTCATCTTTTTTGTTCTACAAAAAATGAGTGTAGGCCTCATGATCATACAGAATAGCTTGACAGTGTGACCCATAGAGGACTCTGGTCACCGAACTTTCACCCAGATGTTTTCAATTAGAAGAAAGGGATAATTTCATGCCACTTCTTCAGTTACTTAGAAAGCCGATATATATTCATGGAAGAGGGAAAACTTCTACACGGCTTAATTGGAGTTCATGAGAGATAAATAAGAAGCGTCTTCCTAGATACGCAAGGAATAATTAGAGGAGACTGGAGTGTATCTGTTATCATAGCAGTTTATCAGCAATGCATATTTTCAGTTCATCAGAAAAGAAAAACAGCAATTGTGCAGCAAATAAATGAACTAAAAAATCCCCCTTAATTTCATCCATCCCATTCTGTATTCTGAAAGCGCTTTCCAAACAAGTCTAGGAAATGAAAGCTCAGGAAAAGGGGTTTTATTCTCTCCAAATGCTGTTTGGTAGTTTGGTATGAAAAGTCTCTAAAAATGTGGAGATAAGAGTGACACAGCACGAAGTGATAAGACATTGTCATGCTTATCTCCCTTAATACGTACGAGGCCTAGACGGAGCCCATTTAAAACAGAAGTTGCAAAAATGCAGGCTGTGTAGTGTGTCGATAACCAACTCGGAAGATCTGTTTATATAATAGAATATTTTCTATAGGGCTTGAGGACAGGAGGAGCGCTGTGTACAAGTGTGGGAAGATTCCTTACCACCCTCATTTGTAAGTGCACAAACAGACCAGGAACATTGATCTGGCCCCCAGGCATCCCACGGTATATGTATGATCAGTGTACCCCTCTGTGGGGTATTCTCATTTTCCAGCAGGGAATTGAGGCACAGGGAGGCTCGGAGACCTGCCTGGGAAGATGCAGGAAGGCTGCATCTTCCCAGGGGATTGAACCCAGCTCTCCTGAGTCTTGGCTCAGCAACCTAAATGTAGGCCCACTT